ATACCATCCCATTTGACAAACTAAAAAAATAAAGTGTAATAGAAAAGATGTTCTAAAATAAAATCAATGCTTTTTCTGTTCTAATGAAAATGATATCTATCCAATTATTCATCGCAACATACCTTCATCACATTTATGGCCCAAATATCCGTCGTCACACCCCTCAATACAAGTCCCATTGATAGGATTACATACATTATTAAGACAGTTGGGACAGCTCTTTAAACAGTTTTTGCCATAAAATCCCCCATCACATGCTTCGGAGATAAAATACTTTCAATTAATTAAATAATATTTGCAAGTATAATATTGATACATGTTTTACCGAAAAAGTTAAAAAAAATGTCTTAAATTTACATACACAATTGAAGTGTTAATTCACAAGCTAACGGTTTAAAAAGTAAAATACCCTCAGAGCAATTGGCTGAAGTCCATCCTGGTTTACATCCAAGCAAACATATACCATCCCTGTGGTTACAGGTCTGATACATACAGTTAACATTACAAGGCTTTGAGCAATTTTTGCCATACCATCCACCCTTGCAACCTTATAAAAATGTACAATGTGCATAAATTATATCAAAAAACTTATCTGGCAAAGCACTAAGAAGTAAAATACATACTATTTTAAAGTAGGGGTATAGTGAGCATTGAGCTCACTAAATGATACCCCCGCCTCCCATATGAATATAATGGCAGTGTCCATGTTTTTCTATGGGAAACCCAAAATATGTGTCGGATCAAAAAGTAAAATAGGAGGTGCACAATGGCAATATGTACATGTAATAAAGATTCTATAAAAGTCTCATTTAATTTTATTCAGTGGTAAGACAGGAGTTGTGGATAAAAGCGTAACAGACGGTCGAACGGATGGACGTACAGACGGACGGAACATCCCGATAACTACATACCCTCCCGCTTTTCAAGTGGGGGGTAAAAAAAATTATATCTGTTCAAAGAAGTTCAATTTTATTCTGAAAATATATTATGAACAAGGTATTCAGACAGACGTGTATTGCATATTGGTTCTATGTATCCATCCATACAGCCGTCGACACATTTTCCATTAGTATTGCTGCAGTTCAGGCTTATTTTGCAGTATGAACTGCATGTTCTTGTGCAGTTTTCTCCATAAAATCCAAAATCGCAAGCTGAAAGAATTAACATTATTATGTATAATGCTTAAAACAAGCAAATGTTTGTTGCTCAACATTTCAATTCAATTCAACACTTTTATTGTAAATCATTTTTTAAAAATTAGTTTTAAATATTAGAGTAAGCATACGTATAATTCTTTATAGTAAAAAAACTGTTAAGGTAGTTATTAGTTACTTAAGTAAATAAACGTTATACATGGTTGTGGTTTAAAAAAAATGAATTTAACGTACAGTGATCAAGCTTCTAAATCAAATTTGACAAATAGGGCTCTTAAAGGTTGAATCAGGTATATTTAACATGTGCAGCTAGCATCCTTATTGACCAGTTTTTGAATTGATTCAAAGAAATAATATCAATACAGCACGCAATTGATTACGACGTTATTTGTCCAAAATATGTTTCTGAAACCACTGATCTCTTTGCATCACAAAACAAAAAAAAGATATAGATACCAATGATTCTTATTTTGTAATCGATATTTCGTCTTATGAAAATTTGCCTTCTCTCGCTTATAGTATTTGGAATATTTTTGAAAAGTTCTACACTCTCCTTAACACAAAGGTTTCGAAAGTTATTCAAATTCTCGACTCTTTGTGTACTCACCTTGACCGCAGTTTGAACCTGTCCATCCTGGTTTACACCCATCGCTACACTCTCCATTTTCATTGTGGCACAATTCCCTTTGGCAGTTAAAGCTGCAATGTCTGGAGCAGTTGACTCCATACCATCCTTCATTGCACTCTTTGAAAAGATAAAAAGAAGGGAAAAGGAGAAAACATTTCCCATTATATAAGCATGCAGTAGTTATATCTATGACAGTTCAAGCAAATCACAAATCTTAAAATTTATCATCTCTAACCGGCAGTTAAGGGATCGACTGCGGTTTCCATTTCTCAATATTTCGCACATCATAGTAAAATGAGGCGTATTTACTGTTTTAAAGCAATTTTCCCCTTAATTAAAACAATTGAACAACGTTTAAAAAAATCAAAACGATTTTTCAACTGATAGGTAGATTGCAATTGACGTCAAAATAGTTTGATTTTGACGTTATGATCAACTGAAGCTCTTACAAGAAAGGTAATAAAAATGCTACATAAGAACAATTATTTTATATGTGCTCCTGAAAGCTAAAACAGAAACTTGAGAATCTCTCCATCATTTTTATTATTTTGGTATAAATCCTTTGTTTTGTAGTGCTCTATTACATGTAAAACAGTAAAAGTTGTTACATGTAATTGTTGGCATTGTGATATGCCTGCTCTGGAAACAAGACGGTGGAATGTTGTGTTACTTACATATAATGCACAATAGTGTATTACAAGCTCATTGTATATTATAGTTTGAGCAAAAAGTCTAGTGTAATATTGGTAAAAATTGCTATAAAGTGCGAAAAATTGTCATTTTCCCATATACATGTACATGTAATCCTAATCCTAATGTACTTGTATTACGAGACTATTTCTTAAAAAATACCTGGATATTTGATCCCCCCTCCCCTAACTGCATGTACAATGAATCAATGTAAGTTACTGTAAAATCACATATTATCATGCGATCAAATTTTTGAGGTTTGAGGAAAAATATTGGTTTTTGGGAATTCGACTTCGTGATTGGAAAATGTTTAGTAGTAATGTACAGGGTGTCCCAAAACATATGTTACACATTTAATCATCTATAACTTTATCAAAACACAAGCATTCACAAAGATATTTCGTCAACATCTAGTGTATTAGCATACATTTTATCTGACAAACTTTCATGAAATTCTGTTAAAAAGTCAGGTAATTATGACGTCATCATATTTTAATATAGAGCCTTCATGTGTTGAGCTGATAGAAATTGTCTAACTTTAATATGGGTGTAAATCTGCTACTTTAGTAATTAGAACCATGATAAAACAACATCCTGTAAAGAAAATGCCCAACAGAATGCTAATTTACAGCTTTGTGAGGAAGTTTGAAGTTAAAGGCACCATAAATGACACATGACTTAATTCTGGTATTAGAAGACCAAGGGGTGTCCGTACCAAAGAGAACATTAATACCGTTAATTTAAGGAATGACTGTCTAGTTAGTATAGTATGCCAGGGCATCAACAATAATGGGAAACATTGGATAATTTGCATAAATTATCCCATGTTCCCCACTATTGTTGATGTCCCTGACATACTATACTAACTAGACAGTGATTCCTTATATTTCAATTTCATTGTAAAATAAAATTGTAGATTTAGACTTTAAAAATGCAGACATACATTTAAATTACACGAGAACTCCTACCCCAATGTCAATAATCCTCGCCCACTGACGTCAAACACAAGGACAGCTGCACGAGATTTTCATGCATATTTGGCCTCCCTAGCGTCAGCCTCAGAAACAGATGCGCACGAGATTTGCATGCATATTAAGCCTCCTTGGCTCCTGACCTATTGACCTGCCTAATTTACATTCCGGTAGAATTATCAAGAAATTAACTCCGCTAACATTCAAAGAGTTATCACAGAGAGAAAATTAGAAATGGAAATATAGAGGTATTACTCTACTGAAACTTTATTTTAAAAAATCTCTTAGACGGGTCCTGCATGGACACGAGAGCACCTGAGGTAAATCTAGCGTTCATACAATACTCAAATTTGATTTGAAATTGATTCCTTACAAGATTAGTGTAATGCATCATTTGAAAGAGACAGAAATTAGAAGCTGTTTAGAGTTTACCCTTTGGATTTGAATCAGACCCGACTCTGAAAATTGAACAGATGGATTGAACAGATGAAGCCCACTTCCATTTTAACCATGTTGTTATAGAGAATCTTAAATTCAAGTGTTTGGTGAAACCCAATTTCAATGTTAAAAAACCTCTAAACTGTTAGAATGTTACATTTAAAATTTGGTAAAAAAAACCGTAAGAAATCATGTTCAAACAATTCTAATTCCAAAGGGACGTAATTTGGAACATGCTGTAAAATGACTAATGTTATTCTAAAGAAAAAAAATATTGGTGATTAATAAGGAAACTGTAAAAGTTTAGTATATATTCTAAATTTCATGAATTTAACTTGAGGCATTAAATTTTAATAACGGTTTAAAAGTGTAACATGTGTTTTGGGACACCATGTATATATAATTTCACATTTCGTGGTGGTCAGAAATCCATGGGTCTCTATACATTTTTCGAAATTAGCGAAAATTTCACCACAACGAAAGTGAGTGATTTCAGAGTAAATATGGTATAAAATAAAAAAAAAAACATCTCTGTTGTGGTTTTTACATAAGCCCTACTCGACTGTCTTAAAGGTAACATTGCTCCTGCCATTGGATAGAAATAAATAATGACTAATTTAAATAAAAATTCACTCTTATTCTAAAATCTGAAGCGCAACAATGAATTGCAAGTATTTAATTGATATAAATAAAATCTGTTCCATTTAAATCTCTGATTTTTTTCTTTCTCAACATTATCTAACGTTTTGCAAACACATGTATTTTAATATGCTAAATGATATGCTTGCAGAACTTTTTTGCTTTAAGTGACAAAGTATGTTTTCTATCATCTAACAGATAACCCGCATGTGTTAATAAGGTATTTGGAGACTGAATGCATGAGTTATTTCTTATTTCTACCTAACGGTACTATATAAACGTTCCTACTGTTATTGACATACTTTCAGTGCAGGTATTTCCCTGGTATCCATCTTTACATCCTTCAGAACAAAATCCATTTTCATGGAAACAATTCTGACCTTGGCATTTGATATTACAGTTTTTAGAACAATTTTGACCGTAAGTTCCGTTTGAACACGCTGAAAGAAACAAGTATAACTATGTTGTGTTGTTTATGTAGAAGATACACGTTCCTCCTCTGTATATAAAAAAAACAAACCTGTATCCAGGGAGATATTTGTTAGTTTAAAATTCACTTTAAAAATGCAGATCATACTTACAATTATTACAAAGTGCTCCGATGTATCCCGGTGCACAACTTTCACATTTCCCACTTGCCTTGTCACATGGTAAACCGTTTGTACAATGACTGCTGCATTTATACATACAATTATGTCCATAAAATCCATCCCGACAGGCTTAAAATTAGATAACATAAAACAAATGACAAAAAATTAGATATCAAAAGAAAACGTCTTTAAGACGTAGATTGCCTCAAGTGTTTCAGAAAAGCTTAAACATTGATTTTAATCAATTTTATGCTAGAAGCATAGACAAATTGAGACCTTAAAATACTGTTGATTATTTACAAATTTCATAAATACACTTATTCAAAAGTTAAGGACTGCTAACTTTGAAGTAACTTTTTTTTTTATCGAACACTTTCACCTGTGCACGTATTAATTAATAAAAATTTTGTTTAATATGTGCTTTTATGTAACATTGATGTCTATTGAAATCCTTTTAAAACAATTGTTCATGGCTTCTTAGTCGTGTTCTAACATTTCAGTTTTCAACTCTAGTTATGATCAACGCTGCGATGTTGTAAGCAATACAAGAAGCTGAGGAATGACACATAACTTGCTTATATGTTCAAGACGTCCATGACTATTTTACTAAAAACTGATGAAATAACATCAAAAGGAAACTCTAGCAATCTAAAAATTGCTATTTTTAACCAAAATAAATTCATCTGCACTGATACTTCATCTGTAACGATTTGCATTTATACCACAATATCGCAATTTAAGAGGTATTCGTTATAAAAAAAATCCTAGTAATTAATACCTAGACTAACCTAGATGGTCAACTTTTTTTTATAACAATTTATTGACCTTTGACAATAACTTTCATCTACTTGACTTAATAAGAAATCTGTAGGGCAAAATACAAAAGTATAGAAAAAATGTGACAATTTGGTGCTATCCAACAAACTCCAGTAGAGTCCAAGATTTGGCAAAATTCAATGAGCGAGCTGGGGTTTAAAATCCAATATCAGTCTTAATTATTTTGAATTTTGAAATTTAATTTTAAATATATTTTAGTTGCGGTTAAGGAAAGAGGATACATATTCCAGTATTTCGAGGACCAGAGACCAGTATTTCAAGGATCATTTTAAACTTTATGAAAAGAAAGCAAAATCAATTGGTAAAAAGTTAGAGGTGACCGGCTTCTTATTCCCCTTTACCCCTAGAACACCCCAACCTCAGATTATATATGCCTTAATCTTACGTTCATTTGAGTGGACATCGGGTGAAAATGAAATAGCTTTCCAAAACATTTTGAAAAACATAAGGACCTGTATCTGATTTACATAGAAGAGACAAGCGACTTACGTTGATCACAGCTGGGTATCATCCATCCTTCCTCGCATCCATGATCACATTGTCCACTTATATGATTACAGGAAGCACCACCATGACAATGACCTGTGCATTTTGTTTTACACTCCATACCATAATACCCAAATATGCACGCTAAATGAATATAACAAATTTTTAAAAGCCGTTCCTCTGGTATATTGTACGTCGTAAACATGGTATACACTTTTTTTTCTTTTTTAAAATCAAGAATAACAACCAAAGGGCTGCAGAAGTTATTGCAACTTTTGAAAATACAAATTTTGTATACTGTCGTAAAATGTGAGCATTGCGAAAACATAAGGTATGAAAGGCTTTTCGAATTGCCTTTCTTATATGTTGATGTAAATCTTAGATGGCAATTTTACATTTAATTAATAAAAATAAAAATGTTTTTTCTTACTTATGTCTCGGTTTACTTCCTTTGCGAGACATAATAGATCTTACTTTTGTTACAAAACTCTCCGATCCAGCCAGCTGTACACCCAAGACACGTTCCATTTATTATATTACATCTTCTGTCTTGACAATGAGGAGGACATGCAAGATCACAGTTTTGACCATAAAATCCATCCTTTTGACAGCCTTGTAATTCAGAGCAAAAAGTTTGAATTAAAAATATATATTTACAAAGGATTAAATCAATTTAAATTGTGTAATGATGGTATCAAAACATTACCAATTACAGGAAATTCACATAACTCTGTTATAACAATGGTGTTCTCGTATCCAACAGGATGGGATGTCTCTTTTCTTTCATTGTAAAATGTAACAAAACGTCCATGAATGGTACAGATAATGGTTATATCTAACAGAGGTAATTCTGGTCCGTCCTTGTAACAGAGATAACCGTTCTTGAATTCTGTTGTATTTGAAACATATAGAGAAAAACCCGCCATCCTTCCTCTTTGACGATTATCTAAAATTATGTTAAAAACGCATTTAGGTATTTTACATGTTCATGTTTTACTTTCAGATATTCCCTGATGGAAAATATACACGTGACACACATGATTCAGTTTGTATTGTCGTTTACTGAAGAACTCAAATTTATATTTACCATAATAAGGCTTTTTTGCGGGGCATTTCAATTACACAAAATATTTATCAGTTTATTGAATGCCATTTATTGAACAATAATTATGAATGAATTGCATTAGGAATACAATTCTTTACTTGTTAAACATCATTGTAGGTTAAAAACAGTAACCATGGTATCAGCGGCTCTAATGATATCTATTTCTGATCTCATTTAAAAGGCTATTTAAAGGAATTTTTTCCTTCGAAGAAATTTTATAATAGATATTTAATGATTAAGAGAAACCAGCTTAATTTTTTGTTGATTTTTTTGTTTACTTCATATTCATGCTACATACAGTATCGTGGTTCATGGCGTTTAAACTGTATCCTAATACTGTAGATACTCTTGATGTCGCCAAGGTCAACTCTCCACCATACTGTTTGGAGTGTAGAGGTCGTGCCGATCGTGTCAGTTCTCATACAGGTACTGATGTCTCCATCAACTGCGTTGTTTGCTGTATACTTGTGGCAGATGTGTGGTGGACATGCCCACATTGAACTTTGTGTAGAATTCTTACCTTCTGATAAATTATCTATAAGATAAAGAAATAAGCAATCCAATGAAAATGAAGTGTGCATATCTGATTCATGAATCTTCCCAGCAAATCAATCACATACAATATATACTGAAACGCAAAAGCCTAGCTATTTTATGGGAAAGGATTGTGTATAGTCAAGAATTTTGTGTCTAAACAGAATTTTCATGCCATCACCAGAAGTTAAGTTTGTGTCTGCTTAACAAAAATCAAAAAATTACATGTTAAACAAAGCATTTAGCAATATGCGTGAGTTTCAAGGGTTTGTTCATCATATAAATAATATTGCAGCATTCCAAAATATAAATTCCCCTTTCTTTTCTTTGACTTTAGTACGCATTTTCATTGCTCTAGCTGTATAATCTCAAAATAAATGTGATGAAGTGTCACTGATATAAAAATTTCTTACATAACGACACTTTAAACTCTTACGTATCATATGCATTAATAACAGTCCGTTGACCGGAAGTCCAAGTGTTTCTAAAATGCGTTAGGTTAAAGACAATTCGACCTTATCATCTGAAAAACAGGTATTTGAAAATGGCAAAGAATATTTATTCCGCTCAGATCTCGATATTGATGAACCTATTAATTGCATCGTAGAAAATAAGATGCAGTTGTAGTGTAGGGCAGTTTACCATGCTTTATTGGAGTGGCTAGAAGGGGATGTTTAAACGGTAATGTGCTACTTTCTTAAATTAAAAGATAATCATTTCTAATAACATTTTTATAAAATCTCTGATGTTTTGAAAAGTAAGTTTAGCCTCGCTAAATGCTTTCATTTTTCAAAAATAATTAGATAAAGAAATTCAAATATTTCAAGATTACTGCTTGATGCGTTTCTTTTGCGTTTCAGTATGCATGTTCATTTAACCTTCCCATAGTTGTACAGAAGTTGTTTTTCAAAAATCCTTATCATCTTTCTTTTCCTCAGGAATAAGTTTACGACTTGCTTTTTTTTTCTGGTATATATACATTTCATTGTTTTTGTTTGACAATTTGTAATAACTCAGGAGGTAGAGTGCTTGTTTTGTGTTTGGAAAGAAGTTTGTTCATAGCGTCTGACAAAAATGAAAAATGTTTTTCACAAGCGCTTGGTACTTTGAAGTGAGAAATTTGCATGGTTACAGAACATAGATCCTTTATGTTCAATTTCTTTTGCTGATATTTTATGAAATCTTTATATCAATGAAAAGAAATCGAACGGGATGTATAGCTGTAAATGAACATACGATCAACTTGTCAATCATACGACTTTTAACTTAAACAGAAGGATAATAGTTAACGGTCCTAATAAATTAGTTTCAGAGATGCAGAATAACCTGAATTTATCTGCTTAACAATTCACATTTTTCAGTCGTTGATGTGATTATTTTCTGAAATGGCCGCCCCCGAAATTTAGTGCGATGACGTTTAACGACCATATCCATGTATAATTTTGTATTTTGTAAATATTGTGTGTAAATATTTCATAGTACATATACGGTAGATAAAGAGATAAGGTAATTTTTTCAACTATATCGTTAACTAGTAACGTTTAACAAGTCATACTGTAACTTATGTGATGTGATTGGATATTAGCAATACGCATAAAACAAACAGTGGTTGTAGCAGACAACATATACTTTTGATTTTGTTTTGGCAACTACTTTTGTTATAGAATCCTCAGTATATTAATATTGAATAAAGTCCTTAAATGCATAGCATGTACCATAGTCAACATTTTAGTACTTTATCTCTATGAATTTCTATGAAGCTCACGAAAAGCTGTCTGTGCTACACTGTCGACGAAAAAACTTAGTTGCCTTGATGGCTTTGATAAATATCTTAATATAACGTACTACTTTATTTACGATTTCACTTGAACATAAATAGCCTAGGGTAACGTTGTAATGTTTTTTTATGTTACACGAGAAAAGTTTAAGAACAAAGAATTTTTCTTTAAATATTTACAATGAACTTTAACAGTCTTGACATGACACAGCAATTTTATAAAATCAATCAATATTACATGATAGCAATAAGAATTTCTGATCTTCCTTCATTAAAAAGAATGTGATATCTAGATTGAAGTTCATCAACACCTAAAAGCCAGAATGTCACGACTTTTAGAGAAGGGTCAGCATAGTCAAAATTATTGTAATAGACATTTCTTTTACTGTTTGTAGTCTTCATGTACGCTAAAACACATATTTTTGAAACCAATTTTCAAAAAAAAAAAAAAAAAAAAAAAAAAAAAACCACACACACACACAACTACGGAAGCCCGTTGATGCCAGTTCAGAGAAAGAAACATTTTTTTATTGCGTTTAAACGCAATAACTATTGCGTTTAAAAGCAAAACTTTGCACTTAATCGCAGTAATCATTGCGATAACGCAATAGTATTGCGATTAAACGCAATAATTGTTGTGATTAAACGCAATATATTTGCGTTTAATCGCAATAATTTTTGTGAGATCAATTGCAATAATTTTTGTGTTTAATCCCAATAATTTTTGTGTTAAATCCCAATAATTTTTGCGTTTAAACGTTTGTTTCTTTTTTCTTTTGTACAATAACCTTATGAGGAAAATTGTGTATTGTTATTATTTATAGAATCAGATTCTTCTGAACAAGCATTTTCTGAATGGTTAAATCATAGGTATGAATTTAAAGAGGAAAAAGAAGTGTCGGTATGTAAAAACAAAGACAATCTTAGAAAGAAACAAAGCTTTAGCATTTATAGATATCTATATTCCTGTTAAAGTTTTGGTCAGTTGCTTAAGGTGCGGTCACACGATGCGATTTTTCATCCGATTTTCATTCGACTTGCTCAGGTAAGTCGAATGAAGTCGATTGGTCGGGTGGTCATACGATCCGATTTTATGTTCGATTTACAAACGATTTTAGCAAGAAACAGGTATTTGTTATTACTTTTAAGATATAAGTACATATATTTCTGTTTAGAGACATGTCTATGTTCTATTTTGATAAAAAGAGTGGGGACAAAATCACCTCAATTTAATATTACGTCATTTTACCCAATTATGACGTTGATGTTGACCTAGTACATGTATACACGGTACACATGTCAAGATCACTCAAAAGTAGATGATCAATCGAAGTTTATCACTTTCTACTTCGGCAAAAAAATCTGCAATATAGTTTAGTCTACCAACAAAGGTGAAATAATATGCATTACAAAAGTTCATTCTGTATGATAGGCCAGCCATTGACAAAATAGTATAAATGAATAGGTTTATAGTGTATCAGACGCTCTTCAAGAGTTGATAAAACCGGAACAAAATTAATATTTAGTAGTTACTTACAGGATCTAGTAGACTATTCTACTACCGGTTCCGACGCCTATACAAATAATATGATCAGTATAGTTTAGTGTACATGTAATACGTTGTATTCGCATGTATTTTAATTAAAGCGTTCGTCAGATTAATAACTTATCTAAGATTTATTAAAATAATTCGTTATTTATGAAGTTTAATTTTCTAGAATTCGGGATTTCAGGTAACGAATGAAGTTGTCGCTTGGGGTTTCTACTTTATAATTGCTATGTTTTGTAGATACCGGTGGTAATAATTTGACAGCGGCATAAAAAAAGCACATAAAAGATCTTAATTTTTTGATTAGTAACATGTTTGTTAATTTTGAAATACCCCCATATTTGGAAATGTTCACGAATCGAATGAAGTGTAATCTACTAAATTCAGCTCTTAAATAATCGGAAAAATATTTGTAATAAATAATAAATGCATAATAAAGACACGAATTTCAGTGCTCGCAAACTATAGTTGAAGAATACATGATTTTTTTTCTATTCTACTCTAGTAAGTTTTCTTTTCTACAAAATGATTCTTGGTTTCGGAATTGTTGGTTTTTTTAATTTCATTACACATGCGTATTTATATATAAAAAGTTAAAATCTGTTATTATTTTACAGACCTATTCTGTATTTTTTTAATTTCGTTTAGCGGGAAATGTCAATGTGACGTCACGATTTTCTTCAGAAAGTCGGTTGAAATCTAACGGCTATCCGATTTCCAAACGACTTTAAGACTTTGCTCTCAACTTTCGACTTGGGTGGTAACACGGTACGATTTTACTCGAAAGGAAATCGATTGGAAAAATCGGATGAAAAATGGAATGAAAAATCTCATCGTGTGACCGCACCTTACAAACAAAAACTTTGCGAACAATTTCAAAGGAATTTCAAAATAAAATACTGGAAATTTAAGATATAATGATTGAAAAACTATCACACCACGTTGCGGTCACACAGTTTACACCATGTACCTTTATAAAGGGCTTAAGGAAACGACTGATGAAATGTTTAGACTTATGTATATGTACATATATGTATATTCACATTTCCTTTGATGACATACAGTAAACACGAGAACACAAGAATTTAGGAGATGGAATCATTCGAATTCAAAAATAAATAAAATGAAAACAGATTGACCGATGTGTACTACCAAATTGATATGGCTATTAATACCACTGAAACATTCTTAATTTGCTGTGATACCTAAGGAATTGATTAATGGCTGCGCTAAAAGTGTTGGATTCTGAAAGGTTTAAGAAACTCTGATTGTTAAGATGCCATTGTTAAACTTCAAATCTAAAAACTGTAACATATTGCAAAAATGCACAGAACCAAATGGTTCTTCTTTAAGAATCGGGCCATGGTATTCATAATAATTTTTGGCTAATTGATGTTTGATTTCGAACTACAGCACTGATTCAATGTGTTTAAATGCAAAATGAATCCATAAAAGGAAGGATTATTGCGATAAAATGCAAAGAGTATTGCATTTAAATGCAATAAATTACTGCGTTCAAATGCATATAATTATTAGAGATTAACCGCAAATAATTACGGAAACGTATAACCGCCTCGTGTTGTTTTAGAATGCGATATTATGATATAAAAATGTTGTCAGGCGGTATTACGTTTCCGAAAATAATTGTTGCGATTAAACGCAATATTATTGCGTTTATTATTATTAATATTATTCGGTTTAAACGCAATCTCTTGCGATTAAACGCAATAATTTTTGCGATTAAACGCAATGATTATTGCTATTAATCGCAAGGTTTTGCGTTGAAACGCAATACTTATTGCGATTAAACGCAATGTTTTGCGTTGAAACGCAATAATTATTTCAATTAATTGCAATAAAAATAAGAATATAGTTTAGTTGTAGAATATTCAAAAGCAAAATATACATACCCTACTTATTTTTCCCGATTATTGCAAGACCAAGACTTTAAGAATTTCTCTTACTTTCTGAGCAAGGATCATGCATAATAATAATTATTAAAAGATTTTCAACATTAAATGTTATCACTGGAGTATGAAATGCATTTGGTCGCATAGTGTTTACTCGATTTCTTGTTATCAGTGTGTTTGTTGACATATCCTCAAAAAATATATACTGTAAATAATAAAGGAGGAGAAATTTTAATTTGAAATGTTTTTTCTCCGCCCATAACAAAATAATGAGAACAAGATGCACAAATATCAAAATTAGATATATTTGCCGTAATTAATTTTATATTTACAAGAGCAACGGTACTATTTTTTCCTGTTAATGACTAAAAGTATTAAACCGTTGTAGAGGCAAATGCGGTCCTACCTAAGATCAAACACATACATGTACAATACACGAGCACTTGGTTGGTGTAATTAAACTTGATATAAATCCTATGAGAAAATGTAAGCAATAAAATTTTTTCTGTGTCCTTCTTTCTTTCAATGTGTGAATAACACACTTTCTTGTACATGTAAACAGCAGGCCTTTCCTCATACGATACAGATTTCTTATATTTTGTCATGAATGCATTATGTGAAAGACTTACCATATCCGTTTGCCGAAAATGTGTGTAGGAGCAACATCAAAATCAAAACCTCCATTTGCACTAGTGAACAGATTAACAGAAGGAGGAAGTATAAAAGCTACTGTATGAATGGTTTTAGATACGCCTGTGTACGTAATATGATTATTCATAAGGAAGTTTTACAATATTTTTTGTGTTGAACATAACGTAAACTATTTAAAAGATATAAAGACTGGCTCAGTAAATTCTTTCAAGGAGGAATTTTCTTATTTAGAATATTTTGTCAAGCAGTGGAATATATGTGATGTCAAGCATATTCTTAAATTTCTTATATCAGAAATTGTTATTATAACTTAAACCCATTAATGTTGTCCTCGTGTTCCTCAATTATCCACTTCAGGAACTGCTCTAGGTACACTTTACAAGAATCATTTGATGTGCATTTTTAAACATTTCCTTATGTTAACAAAACAGTATCTTTATTTCATGAAGTAAAAAAGGACTCAGTCATAAAAAAAAACTTTTAAAAATCATTTTTGAAATTATTTACTCCGAGTTTATTAAGTTCTTTTTTTCTATTTTGGATCAGAAGATTAAAACATTAAACAAACATATTTCAGACAAAAGTAGTTCATGCTTAATCAGTGTAAATCTAAGTACCCAAAATAATATTACATTTGCATTAATACTCAAAAGACGTTTGTAAAAGTTTATTTACCTTGCACATCTAATTGGACATAAAACAACATACAATTAATCAACTAATCAAACAGTGTCCATGATTTAGACAACGCTCATGAAGCGTTCAATGAGTCTTAAATTTCATGAAACTGGCCCTTCTAAGCTGGATACGCACTAAATTTCCTCACCGTATCTAATGTTATTGATGATCTCATCCCTTGACTTTTGCATAATTTTCTCTGGTTTCTTTGTTGCAAATGTTAAACTAAACACAATACCTTTTTATGAAAAAATGTAGAAAGAAATGTTACAAGGGGAGAATACAAGAGATATGACATGTATCATAAAATATTATAATACTTTCATGTTACATTCTAAAATTTGATTGGATTCGACACCTTTAACCTTCACATAATTGACGTCAATAAAATATTGTGTTTGATTTAGATTACTTGATAAAAACAAACGACAAGCAAAACATGGTTGCGATCGAGTACAAAGATAACTAAACGAACCTTGATGATAAAGTACTTTTCGGTATCAAACAAACAATAAATAGGTCACATAATCTTTTTCGAATCTTTTTTGTTTAGAAAATAGAAGCGGAAAGTATGAAAATTCAATAAACGTGAATGTAAAGACAATAGACATGTTTTATTGTTTTGAAAACGTCCTCAATTAATAAGCAATTCACTATAATAAAATATAAATGGTGCCTGGTCTAGATGGTAACAGTTGACATTGACACAAATCGGAAAACAATGGTCAACCTCCGCTAACTCGTCGGTTGACAATGGTTTTTACTTTATGAGTCAATTTCAACTTTTACCCTAAAAAAAAAAAGGATGATTAATATAATGGTTCCATATGTCCCAATACTGGTGTTCAAAATCAAGGTGTAAAGTTATAGTTTTTGAAGCGAGGTGAATTATTGACAAGCAAGTTGATGAAATATTAATATCAACAGTATCGTCTAAATTCATCATTTTGTAAATTGGAAGGCTTGATACAATGATCTTCTTAGCAATTTAAATCTGTCATCGTCATGAATTTACTCTTTTATTTTAACTCTAAATGGAAGTTTGTATCATTTCCACTCTGAATTGTCGAAGAACTTTTCCATTATTTCCCGATCAATAAGCTGGAGTACACATCGTGTGTGACTGGTAGGTAGGGATACCTACTCCTCTATGTCACCCGATCACACATCTGATGTTTTAAAAGTCTGAATTTGCTCTGCTCATGAATATTTTTGTTTATTTCGGCCTTTGAGATTAAATGTAGTTCGTTATCTGCATATATTTACGTTTACGATATATCCCTATATGTGTACAAAAGATTCCTATATATACGCGTGTAAGTAATGATCGCGTAATTTCGCGCAAAGCACTACAAATGCAATTAAATTAATTTCCTTTATATTTATGGTGCTGAAATCTTTGTAAAATCTCTTGATCAACTGTCGAATTATTATTCTCGAAATTTGCCGTTGAAAAAACCCATTCGTGATAATAAGAACTTGCGAAAAATTAGGAATATGTAGTATCAAAGATCGTTATCTTATTGGGGTTTAGAGCATAGTTTTTCTAAACAGTAGGTCGCTAAAATATCGCAAAACCTTGTTTTCTCCAGGTAGGCATTGACTTCATTAGCGAGACAGAAAGTGAATTGTGGATATTATTATTTTAAGGTATGCCAATATACGCGATTGGTACTTCGTAAGAAAACTGTCTAGAACGATGATGCATAGATAAAGTTCTCGCGATTATAAGCATTTTACAGTTCATAATTTTGAATGATTAATGCATTCACTTTTTGAAGACAGAATATTTTCAAGAAAATATTGACAGATACAATGAAGACTTTGTTATGAACTTATCATATTTATTTATTTATTCTACAAAGTATTTTCAAACGAAAGATTTTGGTAGGTATTTTTGTCACTATTTATAACATTTAGGTCCTGATAGGTATGTGTGTTTTCAGTCTTTGTAGCACATACGTCACCACGTTTAGCATACTGTCTTGATGCTTCCAATCCACTTTGAAAGTATTTTCTAGTCAACAAAAATGAAAATTTATATTGTGCTCCAAATTTCATTAAGATAATTTGACATTTAGTAAGACATACATTTGGTTAAAATTGACCTTAACTATAATAATTATCTTACCTTCGGAGTACGATTAAAGAAGTAGATATATGGATGACTAGTGATAAAGCTAACAATATTGACAAAGCTATGACATGGCCATAATAAGAATCACTCCCAGAAAAATTAGCAGCTACCAATTTAAGAATCGCTACAAAAGAAATGCAACAAAACTTTATCCATTTAAAGTTTAATTTTTTTTTCAAACATATGCATAAAACAAGGAAGAGCTTGTCAAAATTTTGCAGATTGTAGAAGAAAGGTTTCGACTGAGAGGAGGAAATAAATGTAACAAGTTACGAAGAACGTACATGTACGGAGAGACATTACTCACTTTCCATATTCTTGTCGCATTTTACTCCAGTAAATGGTTCTGCACAACCAATTAAACAAGCCCCATTCGTCCTGTTGCACGTGTGGTTGAAAGCACATTTACCACAAATTTGTTCGCAATCCTCTCCATACCTTCCATAATAGCACTCTTTAAAATATTTGACATTAGGTGTGAAATACACACATGTATATAAAACAGTAAAAGTAAAACGTTTTTTTTAATTTCCACATCAATGCATATATTCAACTAAAAAGTGTCATATTTAATCTTAATAAAAAAAAATCCTTAAGCTGTTAATGTATTTTTTTTAAAGATTCAACTTATATAAACTTGAGATAGCATTGTTCTACGAACACTTATTCGATTAATTAATAGAAAGTTAAATTGTATTTGAAGAAAAGATACCTAAACGAAAGTTTCTAGTAAATATTTCATTACTTCATAGTTTAGGTCAAAATAATATTAATGACCTTGAAATGGTACATGTAGGAGGGAATGTTGGCACGGAAATTAGTCGGCGGCAATTTGTAAAGAGTTTTTTGAGCAATCCTGCCGAAAGCCCATACAAAAGTCAAAAATACAGAAAAATATAGATTATTATTTTATCAACAATGACTATTGCATGCAAACCTGTTTGTTAACAACCTCATTGATTGTGTGCTCTACCTACATTTAATGATGTTTTAAGCATTTCTTGAATTCGTTTTCAAAATTTACCATCTGAACAGTTTAACCCCATCCATCCTGCCTCACAACCGTATGTACACGCACCGTGAACGTTGTCACATGACTTGTTTCTACAGTTACGGTGACACGAATGGGAACAATTCCGACCATACCATCCCTGCGAGCAAGCTTAAAAACAAGATGATAATAAATAGATGAGATGAATATGCTTCAAAGAAGATATATTTTAGATTAAAAAAAAACAGGACATATGAATTTTGATCAATTAATAATAGCATACGTTGTTGGCATCTTTGACCAATAAAACCGTCACCGCACCCCTGAATACAAATACCGTTGGAAGAATAACATGTTTTGTTGAGGCAATTCGAACAACTTTTTGAGCAGTTATTACCATAAAATCCATTGTCACATTCTAAAAGGGAAAAAGATCTGAATAAAAGTGAAGTCATACATACAGTTTTACTTTTGACCCAGTAAATGAATGTAGCATAATTTTACTGTAGATTTCTGGATAACTGACAGATAAAAGCTTGCTTTGAATAAACTATCCATACTAGAAATGTTTTCATTGAAATTATACATTAACTGTTATTACGGTGTACTCTGTACAGGATCACTTCCATTATTCTGTCATTGTCCATGAGAAGAGACTATTTCCCTCATCTGGTATATACACCCTGAAAAATCAGAGCTACTGCCTGGACATACTTTTTCATGAAAACCTTAGCAAATTATTAGTTTTATTAAAGATACCTCTACTGTAATTACTCTATATAAAATTAATACCATAAAACTGTATTGTTTCCCGAGAAAAGACTATTGCCCTCATCTGAAGACTACTCCCTGGAAAATCAGAGCTACTCCCTGGGACTACTCCCTCATGAATATGTATCGGCAATTTTAACCAATCAAAGTGTTCAGTCGGCAGAGAGTTCAAAGGATCTCGAGTCTGTGACGTCATGGTGTTAGCAATGAAACTATGACGTCAAAATATTTCGATATGCGATGTTATACTTGAATTCTAGACTAGGCTAGAAAAATGAAGACAACGATAATTTTTCGAAATGTCAGTGAAAATACTTTATTAGAATAATTTAATTGTTTTGGGACACAATGCATTACTTATCAATTACAATTTGTTAACCCTATGCGTATGTAAATATGCCTCTACATTGTTGTTTTAAATGTCGGAATATTTGGTAAAAAAAAACAAACAACTAAATTGCCTATGATTGTTTCGGTATAATAAAACAGTTATGTAATGGGAACTCGAGAAATAGCAAATTTATGGTTCCCCTGGGCAGGAAACTATTTGCTGCCGAAGCAAGTTTATGGTTCCCCTCGTCAGGAAACTATTTCCCTCGGGGAACCATAAATTTGCTATTTCTCTCATACTCATTCCATAACTGTATAATATGAACAGTTGGAAAGGCGGTCAAGAAATCTCGAGTCTGTGGCATTAATTATATCTTGGGAAAGATCAGTTGATAGTTCGCCTGGTAAGGAAACTTTTGGCAGCCTCGGGAATAAGTTTCCTCCCTTATTGATTTTGGCAATTTAAGTTATGCCTGGTAAGGTACCTCATTTTTTTGTGAGTTAACTTTAAAAGTAACATTATTTTAATGACAAAATCTTGGAAGAAATCATATATTATTTTAGGCATTATAAAGGAAGATTTGTAACAATAATTTAAAAAAAATCGATGTTATATTGGAAAAAGTTATTTATCATAGTTAAAAAGAAGGGTACTGTTTGAAAAGTATTGAAAATTGATGTTTGAATTCCAAAACGAGGAATAAAGCTCATATAAAATCAAAATTAGTACCCCCTCATTCTTAACAGCTTCTCAACGATTAGAAAATTGTCTCAATAAGAAAAAATCCTTGCACCGCCAGAGCTTAATTTCAGCATTTAACAAAGCTAGCTATTACAAGGTAATGGCAGCAATAATCAGGTTTCTAATGCCTAGGTCACATTTCCCGGCCGGTAGCCGCCGTAGACCGGTGGTAATCGGTGGTAATCCGTGGTGTTAACGATGCCCAAACATCGGCACACATCGGTCTAGTAGTCCTTAAAGTATCAGTCACATTATCAGCGCTGGGTATACGATAAGCAACCAATATGTTTTATGATAAAAATGACGTGGTTGCCGGCCGGACTTAGAAAGGCCCAGCGATGCATTGCTAATCATAAAACGATGTTCCAAGATAATCAGCCGATGTATATTACATCGCTCACACATTGGTGAACATCGTTTGTACATCGGTTGACTACAGGCAAATGTTTGGTCGAATATCGGCCGATGATCGGCCGTTATTTGTTGAACACTATTCAACCCCCGGATGACCTCAGATTTAACGGATATTGGACGATGCTCGGCCATACATCGGCCGATCCTAGATGTGTTAATGATGGGTTGCCGATGTGGAGCGATGTGAGGCATCGTTTGAGATATCGCTAATGCCTAGGTCACATTTCCCGGCCGGTAGCCGTAGACCGGTGGTAATCGGTGGTAATCCGTGGTGTTAACGATGCCCCAACATCGGTCCACATCGGCCAAGTAGTCCTTAAAGTATCAGTCACATTATCCAGCGATGGGTATACGATGGGCAACCAATGCGTTTTATGATAAAAATGGCGTGGTTGCCGGCCGGACTCACTAAGGCCTAGAGAAGCATTGCTAATCATAAAACGATGTTCCAGGATAATCGGCCGATGTATATTACATTGCTCATACATTGGTGAACATCGTTTGAACATCGGTTGACTATTGGCCAATGTTTGGTCGAACATTGACCGATGATCGGCCGTTATCTTTTGAACACCACTCAACTCCCTGATGACCTCAGATTCAACGGATATTGGACGATGCTCGACCATACATCGGCCGATCCGTGTAAGATGTGTTAATGATGGGTTGCCGATGAGGAGCGATGTGAGGCATCGTTGGAGACATCGCTGAATTTTAACTACGAATTATTTCCTACCGATGACCCCACCGATTCGCAATATGGCCTCAGTCACCATCCGATCACTAGTGATGCCCAGCCGGCAACCACACCATTTTCATCAAAAAATGCATCGGTTTCTCATCGTATACCCCATCGCTGGATAATGTGACTGATACTTGAATTTTAACTACGAATTATTTCCTATCGATGACCCCACCGATTCGCAAAATGGCCTCAGTCACCGTGCGATCACTAGTGGTGCCCGGCGGCAACCACGCCATTTTCATCAAAAAACGCATCGGTTTCTCATCGTATACCCCATCGCTGGATAATGTGACTGATACATAATGTAGGCGAATCTGCTTTTTCAAATTATTGCCAACCAATCAGATGGAACAAAAGAAAGCGATACCTTCAAAACCCCCTTTTCCCCTGTCTGACAATTCTTTCGATATTGACTTTAAATACATTTGTAAATTAAAAAAAAATCTCCTTGGTTTTTGTGAATAGTTTTCAATTTCTAGACCTCCTTTTATATACATACCTGGACTACAATGTGAACCTGTCCATCCCGGTTTACATCCATAGTGACACTCTCCATGTACGTTATGACAGGATTCTCTTTGGCAATGAAAGCTGCAACGTCTGGAGCATTTTCCCCCATACCATCCATCGTTGCACTCTTTTGAAATCAAATGAAAAAAAAAACAAAACAACAACACTGTAAAGTAATAAAAAAAAAAACAATTCATGTTTTTTGTAGCTTTATAATGGTACAAAACAACTTCACAATAAATAAAATTTGATCATTTAAAGGAACGCAGTATTGTATACAAATATTGAAATATTTTAATTTTTAGAAATACTGTTTAATTATTCCTCTATCGTTTTAAAACTTGAAATAGGCCTTCATGAAACACAATATATTTAATACACAGAAAAGACACGATTTATATTTCTTTTAATCTCCGAATGAGAGCATCTTTCATTCTGAACTTAAAAATAACCATTTTTCTTCTTTTACCCTTAAAATCTTTTTTTTAAAAAATATGCATCCGATTTTGCTTTTGATGTTCATGATTAGGTATATATTTTATATCCACTTCATAGAAAATCTTTAATAAATGCATGTGAAAGCAATCTTCCAAAAGATATTTCATACAGTTTTATTAAAACATCTATTTATTTGTAGTTGGACATACTTTCCGTACAGGTGTTTCCCTGGTATCCATCTTCACATCCTTTAGTACAAAAACCATTTTCATGGAAGCTGTTTTGACCTCGGCATTTGATATTACAGTTATCAGAACAATTTTGACCATACGTGCCTTTTGAACACACTAGAAGAAAGAGGTATAACTATACATTGTATTTATTTTTTTTAAATGGGAGCACGAAAAATCATGTCGAAGATATACCTTCTGATATTTATTTTAAAAACCTGCCTTAGAGTAAACATTTGCATGTTTGCAATTCACTTGGTTGTTATAAAAATGCAGATCATACTTACAATTATTGCAAAATGTTCCAGTGTACCCAGATGCACAACTTTCACATTTCCCAATTGCCTTGTCACATGGTGAATTATCTTTACAATGACTGCTGCATTTATACAAACAGTTAGGTCCATACCACCCATCCTGACAGGCTTAAAATAAGACACATGGCAAACAAAATGTATTAGTTTGTGAATTAAGTTACATTTACATTTATCTTGAATTCTCCATTTTCAAATTGATAACACTGTCACTATATGAACCTAATGCATGACCCTGGAGTTTTACACAATACCATTTAAGTCATTGTCATTACTCGCTCTAGAAGACAAATGAAGCACATTTGTAAATAGATATTGTTCAATGACAAATTTTGAACCAGAGTTACTTTTCCTTCGTTGAAAAGAAAGATATGAAATGTAAAATGAGACATGAGACCTACGTTGATCACAACTTGGTATCATCCATCCTTCCTCGCATCCATGATCGCATTTTCCACTTATATGATTACAGGAAGAACCAGCAAGGCAATGTCCTGTGCATTTTGTTTTACACTCCATACCATAGTAACCAAACATACAACCTATTTGAATACCAAAAATACTTTACATTGATCCTCTTAAAAGTATGAATAAATTAAATAATTGATTTTTTAACTTAAAATAAAAATTAACAAGCCAAAGACTAAAGAAGCTATTATCGACTTTTTTCTATTATCTTAAAGATATAGCAAAGAGGCTTGAAAAGTTTTTTTTTTCAAATTGCCTTACTTGTATCTTGATTTAAATTTCATATTACAATAACATTTAATCATCAATTTAAAAATGACTTATTAACTTATGATTCGGTTTACTTCTTCCAAACTCCTTCACAGGAAAAAAAAATCTTACTTTTGTTACAGAAATCTCCGATCCAGCCAGATGTACAACCAAGACAGGTTCCGTTTATAATTTGACATCTTCTGTTCTGGCAGTTGAGAGGACATGCAAGATCACAGTTTTGACCATAATATCCATCATTTTGACAACCTTGTAATACAGGTCAAAGTATGTATTGAAAATATTTAGATAGGGTAATATCAATATAAATCGTACTTTAAGATAGAAATTAAAAGCAAAACATTACCAATAACATTGACTTCACATAACTCTGTTATAATGGTAGTCTCGTAGCCGTTAGGATATTGCGGCTTATTTCTTTCATTATAAAATGTAACATATCGTCCATGAATGGTACAGATATTGGTAAAATCCAACGGGGGTCATTCTGATTCGTCTTTGTATCACAGATAACTGTTTTGTATTTTTGTCGTGTTCGATACATACAGAGAAAACCCCGCCAGTCTTCCTCTTTGACGATTATCTAAAATTATGTAAGAAATGCGTATAAATGTTTACATGTGCATTTATATGTTGTTTGTTTGATATAATTGCGAAAGAATCATTCATTCTATTCTGGTAATCCGAATGCCTTTGCATTTCACTTAAAATAAGTTTTAAACGATAGTATTTTGAAAAAAAATCATTTTTGATAATTTCATGTAGTTCTCTTTTGATGAAAATAATTTGAATTTGATAGATGACTTTCATAAATCTAAACAAAATTTCATTTTAGGAAACTAAAATCCTTTTAGCCGTTTTACGATGACCTTGAAATTGTTTCTTTGTAGAGAAACTGATTATATTTGACAAAGATAATTGTTTGAAAAAAATCAAATTCTAAAGACAGTTTTGAAAGACATAGTCTCATAACTGCAAAAGCTCGTTAACGTTTGATGAAAATTCGTTTGAACATACATTAGCAGTCATAAGAATATATCTGTCAAAAAAATAATACGTTGCTTATATTTTATCACATTCTTATAACGCACTGCTTTTTCTACAAAGTGTTGTCTTTCATGTAAGCTACAGATAATGGAAAACCAACATAACAGCTTCAGGTCAATGTGAGTGTGATTTTCTTGTTTTCGATTATGTCTTTGTATTTCCTCGGCGTTCAACGAATGTGATGTCAAAATAAAAAGTATGCTTTAACATTTTGGAACATTTTCTTGATATAGTAACTTTTAAATGCAATATATTTCAATATTCACTTCATACGCAAACATAAGTGTAATGTAAATATTTGCTGTTATTTCTCAATTTACCAAACAGTATATCAATATACCCTGTTTTATGAAAATTTCACATTATCTTGAAACAAACTATTCCCCATCCAACAAAAGAGAAAATGCAAGATCAATTTTGACTTTTTATTGTTTAAAATATTTTTTTATTTTTATCTATATCTTTTTATGATCTATTAATGATTTTAAAAAAGAGAGTTTGAAGGCGGTTATCAAAAGATATTTTTATAACTCTACTGAGTTTTATTTTATAAAAAGTAAATTGATATAATTTGCCGATTCCCTGAAAATCACCGTACAGAGACCGATTCCCTGCAAAAAGTGCGTCAGTTTATCTGATACACATCTATTCAGAACACCCAGAGATTCCTTAATCATAAGAAAAGTACCGAGATGTTCCAAATTAACCTCATGAAAATTCATATTGAAGCTCACTTAACTTACGGAGTGAATATATCTCAGTTGATTCGATACGCAAGAGCAAGCTCTACGTAAGAACAATTTCTAAAACGAGGTAAATAATTGCCAAACAAGTTGATAAAACAAGAACATCAGCGGTTTCGTTTAAAGTCATCATTTTGTTAGTTCTGTGATCGATACAATGACCTTGTCGGCAAATACAATTTATCATTGGGTCAAATGCTGATTGATGTTTTTCATGTGTCCATTATTTATACACTGAATCGGCGACGTTATTTCCTGATCAGGACAATGAGCATACGGCGGGTGTGACCGGTTAGCAGGGGATGCTCATTCCTCCATGGCACCTGGTCCCACTTCTGATGATTCGGAGGTCCACGTTTGCCCTGCTCCTATTTTGTATTGTTTTATGGACTTTGATAATGAATACTTCCTTCTTAGATGTAATATATCGGTATAATAAAACAGTTATAGTATATCATTGAGGGAGTCAGCAAAATTCCCAATTCCCCTCTAGCAAACCTATTTTGCTTTTGGGGAACTGGAATTTTGCTGACTCCCTCAATGATATACTATAACTGTATATAGACACATATAGACTTAAAAACAAGGGTTGTTCGAAAAGTTCGTGGACGATGTCTATCTATGTTATATTACTCAGTAGAAATTTCAAATAAGCACAATATTATATGCAAAAATATCTGTTTTGTTGATGTGTGAGGTTTCATTTATCGATTTAAGGGGGGCGACTGTGGTTTTCATTGCGCAATATTTCGTGCATCATAGTAGAATGAAGCACATTTACTGTTTTAAAGCAACGTTTTTCGCTTAATTGAATAATTTAACAAAATAAAGGAATTGAAGGTTTAAGAATTAATTACCATTTCAATTAAATGATTTTTAACCAATTTTGCAATTGATAGGTTGGTTGACGTTGTTGCAGTGTGTTTTGACGTTATGATAAACTGAAGCTCTCAAAGAAAGTGGTAATAAGAATGTTACTTAAGAAAAAGTAATAAACATACGCTATTGAAATTTAAAACGTTGAAATTTGAGATTATTTCCATTATTTGTATTATGTTTTCATATAAATCCTTTGCACTTGTCATATTTTGTAGTTGGAATATTTCAACAAACGATATTTGTTTTGAAATGACGCAATGGTAGGCAAGAAGAGTTCATTATAAAAATATCAATGTCGGACCCCAAACATAAGAATCAACTCCTTATTCCGCGAATCTAGAGCATGTTATATTCTCTTTTAACATTGCCACTGAGGTGACTTTCGGCATTTATTGTTTTTTGCTACAAAAGATATGGCACGTTTACTATGTACAGTCAGTAAAACATGATTATTATATTTGCAAAAATGTATGTAGTATCTTTTATTTCAGGTTTACAGTAATATATTGAGTCTACTTATAAAGTAGATACTAACTAATTAACTAGATTATTATTTCGAACTAAAATAAATATTTTAAAATTAACCCTTAGGGGAAAATTGTGTACTACAGGGTGTATCCAGACTATATTTTAAATACACATGTTCTTTATGTATTTTTAAGTGAGTATTTGAGAAAAGCAATTTCTTGAGGCAATTTAATCTAGACTATTTTGAAACATAGCATACACTTGAAATTCATAGACGTTATCTAATAAAATTTTCACAGCAACACAACACAGACAATTTTGAGAACAGTTGCAAATATAAAAAAAATATTTTCCCTTAAGACTTCAGACAAATTCATTAATTGTAATTTCAAAATGATTCGAAATTGTCACCTTTTACTTGGTGATTTCAATTTGTACATTGTGATAATTGAATTAGTAGGAATAGATAGATTGATTGATTGTATACTGTTTAACGTCCCTCTCCAGAATATTTCACTGATAAGGAGACGTCACCATTGCTTGTGTAACGTTGAATTTTGACCCGGGTTGAAAATTTACCCGGGGGTCATTTTTCAACGTTGAATATTGAACCAGGGGTGTTTTTTCACCTTTGAAAATTGAGACCAAAAGTCGCTGAATATATACCCGGGGTCATTTTTCAACAGCTTGACAATTTTTGTTTTATACCTAAAGACCTCAACAAGTTGAAAATTGACCCTGTTGAATATTGACCCCACTTCACTTACGGCCTTTGAGTAGGGAGGGATCTTTATCGTGCCACACCTTCTGTGACACGGGGCCTCGATTTATACGGTCTCATCCGAAGGACCGCCCCATTTAGTCGTCTTTTAAGACAAGCAAGGGGGTACTGAGGATCTATTCTAACCCGGATCCCCACGGGGCTAGTAGGAATAGTAGGAATAGAATCTTCATGTAATGAGGGCTTCCATCATACCACAAACAATACGTGTTTTAATATATTTATTTTTTTCTATCGTAATCTGAAATATGAGAAAAATTAATTGACAGTTATAATTAGTAAGGACTTTTATCTTCTTAAAAATTCTTTTTAAATAACATTGATTTCGAACTCCAAACAGATCGTATATAGTATTTTTTTAATACAATCGTTACATACCGTATCGTTGTCCATAGTCTTTAAACTGGATCCTGATACTGTTTATACTCTTGGTGTCTCCGAGGTCTACTCTCAACCACACTGTCTTGCGTCGAGTGATTGTACCTATCGTATCAGTTCTCATACATTTATTGAGGTCTTCATCAACTGCGTTGTTTGCTGCATACAAGTAGCAATTTTGTGGAGAACATGACCACGTTGAACTCTGTATAGAACTCTTACCTTCTGATATATTATCTATAAGATGCAGAAATATTTAATCCAATGCAGTTTAAGGAAGATCTATAATAGAAATGTTCTTTGCAAGAAAAATGATCTTTATTCATTTTGTAATTATTTAAGCATTTATTACAAGAACTGATGCTCTTATTCAATTCATCTTATACATTTACAAACGTACGATTGATTGATTGTATACTGTTTAACGTCCCTCTCCAGAATATTTCACTGATATAGAGACGTCACCATTGCCGGTGAAGGGCTGCAAATTTCGGCCTATGCTCGGCACTCACGGCCTTTGAGCAGGGAGGGATCTTTATCGTGCCACACCTGTTGTGACTCGGGGCCTCGGTTTAAACGGTCTCATCCGAAGGACCGCCCCATTTAGTCGCCTTTTACGACAAGCAAGGGGGTACTGAGGACCTATTCTAACCCGGATCCCCACGGGTCTATAAACGTACGAGAATATAATAATTACTATTCACAATTAGCCCCAGACGAGAAAACGATATGTTTAACAATTAAAACTACCGTGCAGCAGAAATGGACCTTTTGAACAACATTTGAAAATATGCTACATTGCTCTCCTGACTTGACGATGATTAATTTTTCCATTCCAATTATTTGCATTATGTTATCTTTCAAAAATGTCAGATTTAAATCTGACTTGGATTAGAGTAAAACATAGTGTCTTCATTGAAAAAAAAAATTGAATTACAATGAAATGCAACAATTTTGTCAATTAATTTTGATTACGTTTTGTGGTGTTAAGAATGACCTAGGAAAAGCAGAATAAAGGGAACTATTGGTTGTTTTTTTTAAAATACTGATGAAAATGAAATCGGCATATCTGATTCTTGAATCATACCAGCAAATCAATCATATACAATATATACTGAAACGCAAAAGAAACACAACATCCTATTTTAGGGGGGAATTATCAGATATAGTAAAGAATGTTTTGTCTAAACAAAACGGGTATGTTCAATTTTGTGAATATCTGTAATTAAACGGTTGAAGATTTTCATACCATTACCGGAAATTAAGTTTTGAGTCTGCTTATCGGAAATAAAAAATGGCATGTTTAACAAACCATATGGAAGTATAAGTGAGTTTCAAGGGTTTGTAACTACATTCATCATAAATAATGCAGCAATATTCTGAAAGATAAATTCCCCCTTTCCTTTCCCGTAGCGATGCGAAGGTTTTCTGAAAATGACTTTAGTACATATTTCCATTGCTCTAGCTGTAAAATCTGTGAAACATAATAACTACAATTAATACTGAGTTTAAAGCAAGTTTTTAAAATATTTTACTCGTGATTTTATACTTGTTATCATTAAAGAATTATTTTACTGAACAAATAAAAATAACGTCTCATTTCCCCATGTGCACTTTCTAACACAACCACAAATAGATCGGCAGCTGCTGCGGCCGATAATAGCTATTGAAAAATCAGGAAAACGGTTTACGAAAAACATTACAGTAATGACCTCAAAATGTATATGAAGCAATTTAATTTAGTTAAATCTTCAAAAACGAGACCTGTATACATGTATATCCTACTCATTTTCCCTGGTTATAGCCATTCCTAGATTTTAAGCATTTTCCTTACTTTGTCAGCAAGAATCATGTATATAAAACCATACTCGTATCTTTATAAAGTGTTCTTCATTCTTTAATGGGAAAAAAGTTGAAGAACAAACATGGAAATAGATTCCTCTAGGCTTTACCAGTTTACCGCTTATAATCATGCATACGGTAAGGAACACCTGCCCGAACTACAAAATATCTAAATGCTTCATCAATAATACACGCTGATTTTGAACTACATGGACTTGATGAATAGATTTAAAGTTTTCAACATTTAAGTTATCACTGGGGTATGAAATGTATTTGGTCGCATATAGTCTTTATTCTATTTCTTGTTATCGGTGTGTTTGTTGACATATCTGTTGAGAATATATGCTGTAAAGAATAATATATGTTTTAAAGTAAAGTAGGGGTGATTTGAAAATGCAAAATGTTTTTAAACAATATTCTTCTCCTTTATCTGTCTATAGCAAACCTATGAGAAAAAGATGAACAGCTATGAAAAAAAAAGATAAACAGATATCAATAATTAATATTTCTGTCATAATTGTTTTATTTTCAAAAGCAACAATGCCTATTTTTCATGTTAATAAACGAATGTAATAATACAGCTGTAGAAGGAAGTGTACACTGGTCTTACTTAAAATCACATACATTACACGAGAAGTGAGTTGCTGTTACTCAACGGAGGATAAAACGTGAGAAAATGTAAGCAATAAGTGTTTTGGTTTCTTCTTTTATTCAGTTTAAAAGAAACACCCGATTTTGAACATGTAACCAGCAGACCTTTCCTCAAACAATACAGATTATGTTACAAATTAATGATGTTAAAGACTAACCATATCCGTTTGTTGAAAATGTGTGCATGAACAACAACAACAACAAAATTAGAAACTCCATTTGCACCAGTGAACAATTTAATAAAAGAAGGAAGTATAAAAGCTACTGTATGAATGACTTTAGATAAGCATATGTACGTGAGAGGTTTAGTTAAAGGAAGTTTTTCAATATTTTTTTGTGTTCAACATTATGTAAACTTAAAAGAAATCTACAAAGACTGACTCAGTAAATTCTTTCAAGGAGTTTTCTTATTTAGAATATTTTGTCAGGTATTACGTAATTTTCCCTCTCTCTTTCCATCAAAGATGAATGATAATAATCTCACTTAAATACAGAGCCACAGAAGACGTGTTTTCAAGCATTTTCTAAAATATCTTATGTCAGTACTTCTTATTTAACTTCATCCCATTGATGTTGTCCTCATATTACTCAATGGTCCAGTAGAAAATCTGCTCTATATACACTTTACCAGAATCATTGGATGTGCATTTTAAAATATATCCTAATGTCATCAAATCAGTATCTTTTTTTATGCGAAGTGAAAATTGACATAGTCATTAAAATGACGACTAAAATAATAAGTTATTTACACTTAGTTTCTTTAGTTATTTACCTAGTTGTTTGGATAATAACATTGTAATTTTTCCTATTTCAGACAAAAATATTTAATACTTAATCAATGTATCTAAGATAATTTGATATGTGAATAAAATACTTAAAGCCGTGTATTTAATGTAATCTACTTTTTTATTTGGGGCTGGGATAGAGGGTTAGGATATAAAATGCATGGCGACTAATAATACGTAAAAAAGTAAATCTGACTTAAAAGAACATGCAACTAA